CAGGTCTCACTGGGAGAAAGCATCAGAGATTTTTAATTGTGATTAAAATACTTAGAAAAGAGGAATTTGCATTTACACAGCACCTTTCACAACCTTGGGACACCCCCAAATATTTTATGACAATTAGGTACTTTTGAAATGAAGTCACTATCAGACTGCAAGAAATGCAGCAGCCAATTTGTGGACAGCAGGACTCAACAAGCAGCAATGTGATAATGATCAGATGCACACTTTAGTGATTGTGGGATAAATATTTAGCAGGGCACTGGAGATCGTTCCACTGTTCTTCTTTGAATTAATGGCCATGGATTAATTTACATCGACTAGAATGATGGATGGGCCCTTGATGTAATGTCATGTGCTAAAGATGGCACTTTTGGAGCTGCAACACTCCTTCCATGCTGCAGTGGACTGTCTTTGTGCTCATGAATCTCGAGTGGGACATCCCTCCATAACCTCTTGGTCCAGGTGAGATTATGACCCAATGAAATAGGCCCACAGCGCAGTACAACAGCAAACTGACACTGGTAATGCTGACCATATTGTTTCATGCAGACATACTAAATAAGATCAGGAGTAGACCATTCGGCTCCTAAAGCCTGCTCTGCCATCCAATAAGATCTTGGCTGATCTATCTGCATTTTGAATTGCACATTCCAATTCCCCTCTTCCCCCTAATAAACCTAGATTCACCCACCAAACAAGAATTTTCACACCTCAATCTTTAAAAATATTGAATGATTCCACCGCCACATAAGGCAGAGAGATGCAAAATTGCACAACCCTCTGAGGTTACCCCTGTCTTGAAAGGGTGACTGTCTAATTTATAAACAGTGTTCCCTAGACTGGGCAACATGAGGAAAACATCATTTTCATGTCACAGAATCATAAAATCCCCACAGTGTGGAAACAGGCCATTCGGCCCATTGAGTCTGCACCAACCCTCTGATCAGCATCCCACCCAGACCCACCCTATCCCTGTAACCCCTCATTTTCAAGGCTAACCCACCTAACCTGTACATCCCTGGACACTATGAGCAATTTAGCATGGCCAGTCCACCTAACCTGTACATATTTGGACTATAGGAGGAAAACCGGAGCACTAGAGGAAACCCATGCAGACGGAGGGAGAACGTGCAAACTCCACATAGACAGTTGCCTGAGGGTGGAATTGATCTTGAGTCCCTGGCACTGTGAGGCAGCAGTGCTAACCACTAAGCCACTGTGCCACCTATCCATTTGTCAGGACCATTCATTATTTCACACACCTCGATCTTCGAGGCTCCAGTGGAAACAAGCCCAGTCAGTCCAACCTACCCACGTTAGCTAATACACTGATTCGTATCAGTCTTGTCAACCTCCTCTATATACGTAAGGCAGGATGTTTTATTTGCATATCAAAGGTGTGGAGAGATACAGAGGGATACACACTGAGTCTAGTCATTAAGATTGATAAACAGACTTGATTTTGTGTTCCATGATCTCAGATTTGATACCGCTACCTTCCCTGGCTCCCAAGGCTGGGAGAGACACTCTGGAAAGTACAGGGAGCTGGGACTCATCCATAAGGGTAAGAAAAGGTCTTAGAATGGAAATAATCAGGAGTTAGACAGGGGAAAACCGGAGGAGACTAGGATGTGGGGTGAAGTTATAGAGGCCTGTGACCAGCGGTGTGCCACAAAAATTGGTGCTGGGTTCACTGCTTGTTGTCATTTATATACAAGATTTGGATGTAAATATAAAAGGTATGGTTAGTAAGTTTGCAGATGACACCAAAATACATGGTGTTGTGGACAGTGGAGAAAATTATCTCAGAGTACATCAGGACCTTGATCAGATGGGCCAATGGGTCAAGGACTGGCAGATGGAGTTTAATTTAGATAAATTTGAGGTGTTGCATTTTGGTAAGGCAAACCAGGGAAGGACTTATACAGTTGATGGCAGGGCACTGGGGAGTGTTGCTGAACAAAGAGATCTAGGGGTGCAGGTGCATAGTTCCTTGAAAGGGGAGTTGCAGGTAGACAGGGTGGTGAAGAAGGCATTTGGCACGTTTGCCTTCAGTGGTTGAGAATGAGTTGGGATGTCATGTTGCACTTCTATAGGACATTGGTAAGGCCACTTTTAGACTACTGCGTACAATTCTGGTCACCCTTCTGTAGAGAAGATGTTGTTAAACTTGAGAGGGCACAGGAAAGATTTACAAGGATGTTGCTGGGACTGAAGGGTTTGAGTTATAGGGAAAGGCTGAGTAGGCTGGGGCACGTTTTCCTGGAGTGTAGGAGACTGAGGGGTGACCTTATAGAGGTTTATTAAATCATGAGGGACATAGATAGGGTGAATAGCCAAGCCCTTTTTTTCTAGGATGGGGAAGTCTACAACTGGAGGGTGTAAGTTTAACGTGAGAGGGGAAAGAATTAGAAAAGACCCCAGAAGTACCGTTTTCAGAGGGTGGTGCATGAATGGAATGAACTGCCAGAGGAAATGGTGGAGGTAGGTACAATTACATTTAAAAGGCATCTGGATGGGTATATGAAAAGGAAGGGTTTACGGGGCTGTGGATGAAATGTTGGTAATGGCACTGGGTCAGATTGGGATGTTTGGTCGGCACAGACAAGTTGGACTGAAGGTCTGTTTCTGTACTGTATGATTCTATGACTTACGCTTGGGGGACATGTGTTCAAGTCCCAGCAATCTTGCTGGTGAAATTTAAACTCAAGTAATAAAATTGAGAATTATAAAAAATAGACTCAGTGATGACCAGAATGTTGATTGTTATCAAAATCCTTCTGGCTCATTTAGAGAAGAAAATCTGTCATCCTTACCTGGTCTGAGCTACATTGGACTCCAGACCCACAACAATGTGGTGGATTACTGACTGCTCTCCGAGATAGCTCAGCAAGCCACTCAGTTCAAGGCCAATTAGGGATGAGTCACAAACACTGGCGTTACCAGCACTGTCGACATCCCATGAAAAGATAAAGAGAGAAAGGGCCCTAAAATGGAGCAACAGAACACCAATTAACTTGGAGAATTTAAGAATGTAACAACGGTGTGTTTGCAGTGCAGCAAAGAGAGAGAGAGAGTTACCAGGAGGAATTCATGTCCATTTGGCAAGGTATAATATAGAAATGGTGTATGGTTAGTGGCAGATCACAGTATCTCAAAGAAATTTCTTTGAGATACTGTGATGTGTCTCTAACCATACACCTTTTTTTTTAAAGAATCCCTACAGTGTGGAGACAGGCCCTTTGGCCCAACAAGTCCACACTGACTCTCAAAGCATCCCATCTAGACCCTTCCCCTTATAACCCATCTAATCTACACATCCCTGAACACTACGGACAATTTTCCATGGCCAATCCACCTAGCCCGCACATTTTTGGACTGTGGGAGGAAACCGGAGCACCTGGAGGAAACCCACACAGACACGGGGAGAACGTGCAAACTCCACACAGACAGCTGCCTGAGGGTGAAATTGAACCCAGGTCCCTAGCACTGTGAGGCAGCAGTGCTAACCACTGAGCCACCATGCCACCCCCCAAAAAATGCATTTCTAAAGTTATACCTAGCCAAAGGGACATGAATTTCTCCTGGTAACTCTCTCTCTCTTTGCTGCACTGTAATGTCTGCAGCTTCAACTCTAGATCAGCAATGCAGACCTGATGTTCTTTGAACTGCAGATAGTAACTACAGATATGTTATCAAGGATCACAATGTTCTCTACAAACTCCCACTTGCTGCACATCCAGCATACCACCTGCCTTGCCATAGACTTTGAACTGCAATCCAGTTATAGTGGTTAACAAATTCAGCAGAAACTCAGGATGGTGGCCTAGGCTGAACAATCTTTAAGCTGCTTCATCAATGACCTTCCCTCCATCAGAAGGTCAGAAATGTTTGCTAATGATTGAAAAATATTCAGCATCTTCTGGAATTCCTCAGATACTGAAGCAGTCCATGACCAAATGAAGCAAGACTTGGATAATATCCAGGCTAGGGCTGAGAAGTGGCAAATAACATTTGTACCACATAAATATTCAGTAACAAACATATCCAACCAGGGAGAATCTAGCTATCACTCCTTGACATTTAATGGCATTACTATAATTGAATCACCCACTATCAATATCCTTGGGGTTACCATTGAATAGAAACTGAATTGGATCAGCCATATACATACTGTGTCTAGAAGAGCAGAACAGAGACGTGAAATCCTGCAGTGAGTACCTCACTTCCTGACTCCCCAAAGCCTGTCCATCTTCTAAACAACACAGTTCAGGAGGGTGGTGAGATATCCTACTCTTGTCTGGATGAGTGCAACTCCAACAACACTCAAGGAGCTCGGGCTGGTACAATTACAACATTTAAAAGGCATCTGGATGGGTATGTGAATAGGAAGGGTTAAGAAGGATATGGGCTAAATGCTGGCGAATGTGACTAGATTTATTTCGGCTATTTGTTCGACATGGACGAGTTGAATCGAAGGGTCTGGTTCCATGCTGTGTATCTCTATGACTACCCATGACATAGCAGTCTGCTTGACTTGCATCACATCCACAATCATCCACTCCCTCCACCACTGACACTCGTGCAATACCCAAATACCTAACAGGTGCCAGTTCCTCTACTACCAATGCTCAGCAGTAGAAGTACTTACCATGTACATGATGCACTGAGGAAATGCTATCGACAGTACTTTCCAAATCCATGACCACTTTCAGCTAGACAAAAATAGCACATACAAGGGAACACTACCCTCTGCAAGTTCTCCTGTAAGTCACTGACCATATTGCAGTTCCTTTAGTGTTGTGGGTCAGAATTCTGAAACTCCCTCCATAACAGTATTGTGGGTGTTCCTGCAGCACTTAGTTCATAAAAAGGCAGCTTACCACCACTTTCTCCAGGGCAACTAGGGATGAGCAATAAATGCTGGCCGAGCCAGTGACATGCACATTCCATGAAGGAATAAAAAAAACGAAATAAAGGATATAATTAACAACAGTCTATAACATTCCAAAGTCATTCATGAATTTGCTGGTGTCTGAGCAGGTGAGATGATCGAGTGAATCCCTTCCCACACACAGAGCAGTTGAATGGCCTCTCGCTGGTGTGGACCCGGTGATGTCTCAGCAAGTTAGATGATCGATTGAATCCCTTCCCACACATGGAGCAGGTGAATGGCTTCTCCTCACTGTGGGTGCGTTGGTGTGTCAGAAGGTTGGATGACAGTGTGAATCCTTTTCCACACATAGAGCAGGTAAATGGCCTCTCCCCAGTGTGAATTCGCTGGTGTATCAGCAGATCCTTTTTGCTTTTGAAGCTCTTCTCACAGTCAGGACATTTGAAAGCTCTCTTATCAAAGTGAACAAGTTGGTGCGTCAGAAGGTGGGATGAATTAGTGAATCCCTTCCCACACCGAGAGCAGGTATATGGCCTTTCCCCTGTGTGAACTCGCTGGTGTGTCCGGAGATTGGATGATTGCGTGAATCCCTTCCCACACACTGAGCAAGTGAACAGCTTCTCCCCGGTGTGAACTCTCTGGTGTGTCCGGAGGTTAGATGCATGAGTGAATCCCTTCCCGCATACGGAGCAGGTGTAAGGCCTCTCGCCGGTGTGAACCCGCTGGTGTTGAATGAGGTGTGATGACTGTCTGAATCGTTTCTCACAGTAAGAGCAACCAAACGGCCTCTCACCAGTGTGAACAAGCTGGTGCTTAATTAGATCTGCAGAGATTTTAAAGCAGTCCCCACAGTAAGTGCATTTAAAAGGTCGCTCATCACTGTGAACCCGCTGGTGTAACTGCAGGCTGGATGACAAAGCAAATCCTTTCCTACACAGGGTACAGGTAAAAGGCCTCTCCCCAGTGTGACTGCGTCGATGAGTTTCTAGCTGGGATGGGTAACTGAATCCCTTCCCACAATCCCCACATTTACAGGGTTTTTCCATGGTGAAGATATGCGTGTGTTCTCTCTAGGTTTGATGACCATGTAAGCCTTGTCCACATATGGAACGCATGTACAGTTTCTCCCTGCTGTGATTTCTTTTCAGGATATGTAACTGGTTAAAGCTCTTTCCACAGTCAGTTCATTGGAAAACAGTCACTCAGGTATGTGTGTATCATGGTACTTTTCCACTCATAACAATGTTAGAAATCTTTTCCCAAAGACAGAACAAATATTTCTACTTCCCCATTCAAGGGCCAATACCACTGAGGTCCTGATGAATCGAATGACACTAATATATTTGGGGTGTGATGTTGAGTTGGTTTTGAATGTCTCACTCGCAGGTGCTCTCTTTCTGATACTCTGTGAAAGGTCAAGACAAAAGTCATCACTGTCTGTATGCAGAGCTATAAATCCCATCACTTACACCCTCCCATGATGAAATCCAAACCTGTGGCACCATCTCCACCATTTCTTGAACAAAAGCAAAGTAGTGTGGATGCTGGAGGACTGAACGATAATCAGAAAGTACTGGAGAAACTCGGCAGCACCTGCGGAGAGAGAAACAGTGCTAATGTTTTGAGTCCAGTGATGGCTATCCTTCTGAACATTGGACATGCTGGTGATATTGGACTCGAAATGTTAACTTATGTTTCCCGCTCACATGCTGCCAGACCTGACATAACAAGGTGTAGAGCTGGATGAACACAGCAGGCCAAGCAGCACAAGAGGAGCAGGAAGGCTGACGTTTCGGGCCTAGACCCTTCTTCAGAA